CTCAATTAGGCTTACCTAAGCAAACTATTTAATAAATCTTTCTGCACTGCATTCCAATTCCTCCTTACCTTACTCTTCTTTTTCTCTCCACCCTTCCTTTTTTCTATTGATGCTATAACAAATTACTACAAACTTATTGGCTGAAAATAACACAAATTGATTATCTTATGATTCTGTAGGTAGGATTTCAATATGGGTCTTCCTAGGCAAAATCAAAGTGTCTGCATGGCTGTGTTTCCTCCAATGTTTATTTCAAACGATGCTTTACAATTAAAAAGCTTACTATTAAAATTACTTCAAACTCAATGATTATGATAGATAAGTTACAAACCTAGCAATATATTTTACATGACATTTACTGGCACATTTGTTACTAGAAGTTTCTTGGAAATAAACACTTTAAACATCTCTCTAAATTTCCAGACAGGTAACATGTGGGAAATATTTCTAAAAGGAATAATGCCAAATATTTTCTATTGAGAAATAGACAGACTCTTATTGTAATTTACCACCTTTTAACAGATAAAATTATGTTACTGAAGAACCAAATTAAAATTATTCTTTCAGTTACTGCTTCTAGACACTCAGTAAGAAGAAAGAACAAATATATTAAGTGCGAAATTGGGATCAAAAATAAACAGATGCCCTTGTAAATGCAGAATAACTAACAGAAGACACAAACTTCATTTATTCGGCTTGTAGATGTTCCCCCCACACACAGACCTTTAAAAGAAAATTCATCAAAATCAATGAATAGTATATTTGCCTACATCTGATTTAGTTTCCAAAATAAATATAGAATTGTTTAAAATAAATAAAAATTACTAGAAGTCAGGTAAAATAAATTTTCAAGGAAGGAAAAATTTTTTATCTTGACATGCAACAATGGAATAAACATTCCACTTCTTACTTATAATTTCCAGTATGTTACAAACAAGAAGAAATACTACTGTTGTAATTATTTCTCGAGAAAACCATATAACCGTATTATTGACAAACCGTTAAAATTAACCACTCTCAAAATTTTAGATGCTAAATCTCCTCCTGAATACCTGCATTGTTTCTAAGGCCATCAATACTCCTTTGTACGTATCATTTACTAGAATGTGCAGTAACCAGTGTTTTGATTAGTGCCACCCTAGATGACCAACATTCTTTTCTATTGATTAATTACTAAGACAGACTATTTAACTGCTTTTGAACAGAGACAAGATATACCATCTAGGGGAATAATCTAAGAATCATTATATATGGTGTGATGGTTAGTTTATATGTCAACTTGTTTGGGCCACAGTATGCAGATATTTGATGAAGCATCATTCTAGGTATTTCTGTGAAAGTATTTTTTAGATTAAATTGACATTTAAATCAATAGACTCTGAGTAAAGCAGACTATCCCCCATAATTCGGGTGGGCCTCAATCAATCAGCTGAAGGCCTTAATAGTAGAAGACTTCCTTCTTGCAAGGAAAACTGAATTCTACAAAGCAGACTGCCTTTGGCTTTGAGCTGCAACATAATTTTATATGACTTTTTCCCAGGTCTTCAGCCTGCCAACCTACCTTGCAGATCTTGATTTTGGACTTGCTAACCTCCACGATCATGGGAGTCAATTCCTTAAAATTTCTCTTTCTCTTTATGTATATATGCATATATTGATTTTATATATAATTCTAAACTAATATATATTACTATCTTATATATAGAGATATATACAGAGAGAGGAGAAAGAGAGACACAGAGAGAGTTCTATTTCTCTGCAGAACTCTGATTAATACACACGATAAATTTAGACCTGAAAAATTGTAATTGCTTTTAAAATTAATCATATATGAATATGCCAAGGGTTTTATTTATTGATACTTAACTTCAGTACCAATTATTCAGAATAAATATGAGGAAATGTGTGATTTTAAAATACTGGGCTTATTTTCAGAAGTGTTAATTATCTAAACTCTATCACAGTCATAAAATCAGAGAATTCAGTCTTTGAAAGCATTTTTTGGCAATGATATTATTGGGAGGTAATATTAGTAATAACTTTCCCCTAAAGCTGTCATCTAATTTGGCTTTGCTTAAAACCTAATTGAGGGAAAAGTGCAAGACTTTTATCTGTTTCATAGTGAAAAAGAATAATAACATTTATTTAACCCAATTCTAATTCTAGATGTGTATTAGAAAAGTTAAAAATGAAATCAATAAGTAATTATATTTCCAACTCTCTTCTCTCTAGATAGGAAAGGGTATGCTTAATTGGGTGTTTGTTTCTCTCTTTGTTTCACCTACTAAGGGCCTATGTTTTATATTACATCCTATCATTTTTCCACATAAAGTGCTAAGGTAACATGCTGCAAAAAAAACCCTAGAATGAAATCCACAATAAGAAATGATAGCATCAACCATATAGAGCATACTAGCACTTCAATCGCTTATTCACACAGGGTAGCATAACTGCCACATGGTTTCTATGCGACTTGTCAGTTCCCCTTTACGTGGAGTTGCTGAAATTATTGTAGCACCAGGGTACTCACCAGCCTTTTGCTTGGTTTTCTGAGTCAACTGTCCCTGCTCCACTATTCTGAACTTGCCAATGCCCTGTGTATACTGGTGAGGGCTCAATCTTTCTGCCTGTAATTTTCAAAATTCACAGGCTACAGTTGTTTCCAAGTTCTTAATGCTATCGTGAATTCTATTTTCATTCTGTTCTTAGTCCATCTGAGCTTCTATAACAAAATACCACAGACTGGGTGGCTTGTAAACAACAGAAGTTTATTTCCCACAATTCTGGAGGCTGAGTCTGAGATCGGGGTGCAAGTACGGTCGAGTGAGGAGCCTCTTTCAGGTCACAGCCTTCTCTTCGTAGTCTCACGAAGGGCAAGGGAGCTCTGTGGAATCTCTTTAATTACAGCACTATTCCCATTCGTGACGGCTCCATCTTCACGACCTAATCACCTCCTAGAGGCCCCACCTACTAATTCCATCACATTTGGGGGTTAGGATTTCAACATATGAATTTGAGGTGGGGGGACACAAACAGTCAGACCTTAGCAAATGAGACTGGAAAATCTCTGCAGCTTCCTTATACAATAGCATAGGAAGACCACTGGTTGAAGTCTCGTCTTCAGCACTTGCTAGTTACACAGACTGTGACACTCTCATAAGCTATCTGGTTCAATACCTTCCTCTCCAACACTGCGTTAGAGATATCGAACTCATGGAGCAGTAAACAATAAGTGTGAATTGTTTAAAAGGCTTTTTGTAAATAAAGAGAGGCTCAATCAACATATTCACTATTTTTGATTTACCTGGATACAGTGATGCCAATCTATTTCAATATACTTTTTCCAATTTCTTTTTGTTTTTCTTCTAAAAGATCCTCACATTTTAGCAGCTGGTTCTAAAAACTGTCTATTTCCAACCAAGTCCTACTTCATTTGGGCCTTGTGTCTTGCTGTTTTGTGCGTACTATACAAATTACATGAGCCTAAGGTATACATACATTTTTGTAGAAATTTTGACATGTTTTTGTGGAATTGTGAAATGAATTTTTACAAAACCTGTCATCTTCTATATTACTACAGTAATAAGAAAATAAACTATCAAGTTTCTTTGTATTTTATTCGTATTTAAGAAAAAATTTTTTCCCAGATCTCCATTGATTCTGATTTTCTGCTAATTGTTATATATTTTCAGCCAAGCAATAGAAATTGCATAGAGTAACACACAAGAAAGAATCCATTCACATCGGCATTTATGGATTTCAAAATATATAACCTCTGGAGTTTTGGAACCTTAGGTTATAGAAGGCCCCCTGTGAGGGGAAAGTTGGCAAAGTCGGCAGGGGGTCTAGAGCAGCTGGGGTCATTTACAGAGCAGGTCACCATGTACCTCAGTTGCTCTTGCAGTGTGGCTGAGACTGACAGCCTCTGCTTTTCTCCCTTTTTCCTAGTTGTCTCTATATGTCTTAGCTTCCTTGGGTGGGGTGAAACCAAAGCAGGACCTTCATGTGGTACCCCAAATGGCTGGGGAAACTTGCTGCTCAGCCTATTCTTCTTTTCTTCTTTCTTGTTGCTCACCCCTGTGAGAGGAACCCTTTCTAACTGAGGAGTCCCCTCTGGGTGCTGAACAAAGCCTGCTTAGGGGATGGGATGATGAAGGCGAAACAGTTATTCTTCCTTCCCTAGTGCGGATATTCTCAAATTTTTTGTTCCAGTGTGTTCCACTGTCTTGCTTAAGTTTCTTATGTGGATTCCAGCTCTCCCAAAGCTGTCTTATTTTCATGGATCATCAATTATTAATCTTTTTTGCAGCAATAGAGGCTGGGGTCTCCTACTCAGCCATCTGGTTGACGTCACTTGGCAGATCCCAAGTGCATTTTTCTTTACACAATAAGACATATATGTTTTTGGTGATATTATCTACAGATTTAAATTGTGTAGTTATAGGCATACCTGCTTGAATTTTAATGTAAACCTACTGTCCAGTTAGGTGAAACTAATTTTACCATATGTGGCCACGTAAATAACTCTTCTAATGACATGCTCGTCAGGAATGCTTTCAATTTTGTTTTGCAGAGACAAACCGAGGGCCCTCAAGGTGAAACTCTCAGAATTTAATACATGTAATTTGAAGGCCCTATTAAAGATAAGACTAAAAATAAAGACTAAAACTTTACCTCTTTCACATGTTCCAAATTAGCTATTTTCTCCCAAATAACAAAAGAAAAAAAATATTGTCTGAAATCTAGGCCAAATTGCACATCTATGTAGTCTTTTCTCACTGCAGAAATTTTATTTATTTTTCATTGTGGTAACAGTGGTTTATAACATTATATAAATTTCAGGTGTACATCCTTATGTTTCGACTTCTGTGTAGACTACATCGTGTCACCACCCAAAGACTAGTTACCATCCACCACCAGACACATATGCCCTGTCACCTCTTTGGCCCGCCACCCTCCTCCCTTCCCCTCTGGTAACCTCCAATCTAATCTCCGTATCTAAAAGTATGGAATGCCTCATGAATTTGCATGTCATCCTTGCAGAGGGGCTGTGCTAACCTTCTCTGCATTGTTCCACTTTAGCATATGTGCTGCCCAAGGGAGCACTCACTACAGAAATTGTAATGTGTTAAACCAATTAAGTGATCCCAATTGGCTAGTGGTCTCATTTTTAAGATATTTATTCCGACTTGGTGTCTACCTATATCAATTTAACAAACTATTTTCAAAATTTGTGAGTTGTCCCCTTCCAATGGTTACAATAATTTAGAACAGTTTTGAGTTAAACTAATGGTGAATTCATCCACCTTAACAGCTCATAAGCTAAACTGACTGACTCAATTACTCAGTAATTAGCAATTTGTCACTTGATTTTTCCCCTTTACCATATTCAGGACAAAACAAATAAAAACATAATTTGTGTACAACAGTAGAATTATTTCCTAAAAACTATTGTGCTTTCCTCTTTTCTTAGGAAGCATTAGCCTGGGCTGAGGTCTGTCCAGCTAATATAAAATTCATGCCAATTGCATGTATTTTGAAGATTGAATAAAATGACATATGAAAATATGCAGCACATGACCAAGAATGTGTTATATTCATGAAATTTGGATCTCTTCCTTTTACTTACCACTCTTTCATCTCCAAGTCACCTATACTCATTTCTTATTGGCAAAGGGAGTTTTCTTACTGATATCACAATTTCACATTTTTCCTTGTACATTTGCTGTTCTGCTTAGATTATTTCAGTCAAATTAGGAAAGTGTTGAATTCTACTAAAAGGTAATTCTTTACGTGATAATATATAGTGTAATTCTATGATAATTTTTCCTTTTGTTATAAAAATGACTGTGTTAAATAATGCACCTTTTCAGTTTAGTATATTCACTTTCCGTAATTTGTCATTTCAGCCAATTGCTAAGGAAATAAAGACAGTGAACGGAGATATGTCACCTACCTGAGGTTCCACTGCAAGTTGGTGATAGGAGGATTAAAATTCACAACTTCTGAAATTCAGTGTGGAGTTTTGCAGTCTGTTACAATTGTACCCGAATGGAGGATGGAAAAAGAAACCCTAAAAGAACAAAAAGAAGTGTCTCTGTCCATTGTTTGCCAAGATCTAAATCTTAGCCTTGCAGGGGATAAGCTGCACCACTCTGTCAATCAGGATGATGGAAGTTGATCCTCTCAGAGTGGTTTTTCTGCCTGGTGCCTCTTGGGCGAACCTCTTCCTTATCTCATCAGTTAGATCTACAGATGCTAAGAAAATAGATTGTCCCCAGGCATATCCCAACCCAGAGAGGGGATTTAGCCTTTCTGACTTTAGCTCAAAGCCTACTCTGAAACTCCTTTTGGGTGGGTTTCTGCCCTGGGGCAAAAGGATTGGAGAAAACAAGAAACAAGGAAAATTTACTTTTTCAGTTATTTGGCCTCCATTCAACAGACAGCATAGTTAAGATTAAGAAAACCCAAACAAAATTCAAAAATTGAGGGAAGGAGAAAATAAACCAAAGAGAAACCAGGAAAAGTTAGCATTAATTTTCTATAGTTTAGACAGAAGCTATATCTTCAATAATATATCAGTAAAGTAATAATGTCAATATTGTTAGCAGCAACTTCTCGGTTAGCAAGAAAATGGGTGTCTCAACCTGTCATTGAAAGCTAACTATTTCCCTGAAAACAGTGAACTTTACAGTTGAAAAGACAAATTAGAGAATATGAAAAATTGTCTGTCATGAGTCTTTAGGTACACTGCAACAATTCTCAGAAAACATTAACATATTGCAATTATAAAAAAATAGTTCAAAATACAATTCAATTAACAAAAATAAACAAAGCCTTCTGCCATAGGATTAACATGTATTAATATAAACATTGAACTCTTTCCAGCCAGGCTGAAGTTTTCACAGTTTCTTAGGAGACAGGGAAGGAAAAGGGAGGGAAAATATTGATTAGGTTTTTGAGGAATGGTTCATTGCATGAGGGAAACACCAGAGAGCAGTCTAAAAATCATTGCTGTAAGAAGCATAATCAGTGACCAAAGAAATCTAATTAGAAGGTAGGAAGAACTCCAACTCAATTACTAGGATAGAGTCGACATGACTCAGACTGCGCAGCCTATAAGATTAACTGAAAAGTGATAACCTGTAAAAACAAATGGTATATTTAATAGTGTTCTTTAGGAACCACAATTTCAGTATTGGCTTCTTTGTGATGGAGGAGCTACTTTTAACTTGCCTCCAAAGAAAATCACTGTTTAAACTCATACTTGAGCACAGGAACAAAACATAGAAGCAGAAATTAGAGTTCTCAGAGAGAATGGAAGTAAAAAGTCACTTAGAGAAATAAGATATTTTAGTAACTATAACAGGCATTTGAAAAATCACAGAGATGGAAAACAAATTACCATAGGAATTTGTTAATTATGTACTCTATTATATATAAATTTGAGTGAAGGTACATCCAGCATCAAGACGATCTTCATGAGAAGTTCGTCCCCCAACACAAGGAAGTGGCAACTCCTTTATAGACCATATAATACACGAATAGTTTGGAACCAAGACTAGGGCATCAGTTGAAAAGAAAGCAAAATCTAAATTCAACCTGGACCAAAACTGCAACAATTTTCTTAGATAAATTTGGCCAAAATTATGATCAATTCCTAGTGATGAGCTATCACTTGTTACTAAGAGAACCCTGACCTTGAGACTCTGTTTGACATGTCCTTCCATACCTTTGTATAGCTCTTATTTCTTTTGATTATTTTTGAAATAATCATCCCATTGTCTTATGAATTAATTACTCAGTAAATAAACGAGTGAATGAATGAATAATAGGTTCTCAGTCAGTGTTATCTTTACATTCTCTTTTCCTATTAACTCAATAGGACCTGGTGATGCAGTACCTATGTGAAAGCTGACAAAATTCGAATTGGTACACTTTTGTGCCTTTCTTCCTTTTGGAAATGGAACACTTTTTTCATGGAGGGAAACTTTTTCTTAAATAACACCACACAAGAGAATAACTGAGCCCTTCCTCTCCATCACACCACACATCCAATCTATCACAATATCCCAAAGTTTCTCCTTCATTCTCAAATGCTTCATTTTCCCATGTTTCAGTATTTCCACTAGTCTCAAGTTAACTGAAGTCTTTGGCATTTCACTTCTAAACTATTCTAAGAGTCACTATACTGATAACCTGAACTAAAATTTACCTGTACATTGCAGACAGTTCAGACTTCTGAAGCTCTGCTTTCCCACCTCTTCACTGCTCCAACACCTGATTTAATCAACCCATTTTTCACACGATGAAGTGAAAACTCATTAAAAAATCCTTTAAGGTTTCATTGCCTTATCTCCAAACTTATTTTCCAAGTTGTCCCCCTTACTTAAGCTAAACATTCACAGTTGGTAATTAACATATGTTATGTGGAACCATTTCCTCTCTGAGTAATTTAACCGGTTTTTAAATTTTATTTTTAAAGATCCTTCTAATTGCAATCTGGAGAATAGATTAGAGGCAAGTAATACTGAAGTAAGAAAACTGTTTACAGGACAAATACAATAGTAGAGAAGAGAGATGAACTAAGGCAGTGCTGGTAAGTGAGGGTAAAAACTAAAGCAGTAAGGCAGCCAAGCCTCAAAGGTAGCATTATCTTCATTGTTCAATGTTTTTCTTCTGAATACATGGATTTTTTTTATTTGCTGGACTTTCTAGGTGCTAATTGCTATTTTTCATCAAAGTTTTTCACAGATATTGTAAAACCCTTGTTAGACCCATGAGGCATACACGTAAGGTAATAATTTTGTCTTTGTTTTTGGTGTGGTGGTCATAGGGAGACCTACTTCCTCCTGAGTCTCATTTTCTAGCTCCAATCCATATTGATTGATATCTAGATCCATTATACTGGAGACTTCCTACCATTTCCAGGATATACTGTTTCTTCTTGTTTTATTTGTTTTTTTAGTGCAACATAACTCTGGTAGCTTTTTGAGAAAGAGAGCATAAGACGCAAAATTTTTGAGAGCTAGCATTTACAGAAATGCTTTATTCTACACTCATACTTGATGGATAACATAGAAAGTTTGTAAACTATTACGTTGGAAATAAATGTCCTTTAGATTTTGAAGAGTTTTCTTTACCTTTCAACTGTCAGGGTTGCTTTGCTAAATTAACACCATTATTTAACATAATCCTCTTGGCATCAACTCACTCTCTCTCTCTCCCTCTCTCTCTCTCTCTGTGGAAGCTTTTAACAGCATTAACTTTTCTCAAGTGTTTCAAAATTTTATGACAATTATATCTAAATATGGGTAATTTTGAAATGCCTTGTCCAGGTGCTCAGGGTAATCTTTGAACTGACTATTCCACGTCCCTCAATTCTGGGAGAAGTTTTTGAATCATTTATTTTATAATTTCCTCCACACTGGGCTTTCAATTTCCCTGGAACTCTTATTAGTAGGATTTTTAGATTCCCAGGATTCATCCTCAAATTTTCTTATCATTTCTTTCTTATTACTTTTACATCACCACCTATTTCATTCTGCTTTCTCAGTGATGTCCCAAAATGTCTCTTCCACTATTTATATTTATGAAATTTATATTTCAGCTACAAATTTCAAATTTCTAAAAATTGCTTTCTAACTTTCTGATTGTCTGTTTATCAGTATTCTTGTTTTAAGAACTAGAAAGATTTCTTCTGTTTTCTGTACTGTCTCTGTTCCTTTCATGTTCATTTTTGTTCAATGTAGATTTCTTCAGATATGTCAATTCTTGGCTGAACTTTCATAATACACTATGAGGCATGAATAAGCTGTCTGGAAGCTCTGCGCCTGTATGCGTATTGTGAGTAAATGAGATTCAATGTAAAAAGATTGAGTGGGGATATCAATGTTTACCAAATATCAACGTTTATAAATCTTTCTCTCAGCCTGTCATTGTCTCCAGAGAAGAATCCAGCATTTTCTTACCTTGGGGATATAAACCTATATACACCAGTGCACTGGGAGCTGAAGATGTGGCAACAGGCTGCCCAAGTTTTTAATATATAGAATTTGACTTATCTCTTTACCTTTAGCACACCCACCTTATGATCTTTCAGGGGG